GTTGCCCTTCTCTGGACACGCTCCAGCACCTCCATGTCCTTCCTGGAGTGAGGGGCCCAACACTGAACCCAGCACCAGTGCCCAGTCCAGGGGGACCAGCACTGCCCTGCTCCTGCTGCCCACACTGGTGCTGATCCAGGCCAGGATGCCCTTGGCCTTCTTGGCCACCTGCCCACTCTGCTGCCTCATGTTCAGCCGCTGTCCACCAACACCCCCAGGTCCCTCTCTGCCCAGCAGCTCTCCCCCCACTCCTCCCCAAGCCTGGAGCGCTGCTGGGGGTTGGAATATCAAAGCACCCTTCTCTTTTTGCAGGTAAACTTTGCTCTCATGCCCCATGAACACCCTGCACTGACAACCCCATCTGAGAGATTCTGAATCTGGTGCCCAACAGTTGTTTTATGTTTGAGATTATGAGAATGGAAGCTTCTGACAAAGCACCAAAGAGCAGGTGGGCTTTTGCTTATTCAGTAGGTGGACTGGCTGAAGGACCTGGAAATGCCAGTTTGCAAGTCCAGATGTTTTAATTTAAATGCAAGGAGCCTCTTGCTGTCAAGGCAGACAGCGTTCTTCCACAGCAGCCAGGTCTATTTCTGATAACAATGTCAGGCTGCAGGAAGGCAGCCAGAATCACCCTGTCCTCCTCCATCTGTTCCTGACAAAAACATCCTGGCTTGTCTCACAGAAATTATGGAGGGGGCAGGAGGAATGATGATGGGCACAGCATTTCAAACACTGGTCTCCAGTCTTTCTCTCAGGACACATCACCTTGTCTCGAGACAAGTGAAATCACACTTCACAACGACACAATGGAAGCGCACAGCCCAAATCAAGGTGCTGTGACATCCACAACAGCATGAAGTGAGGACACTCTGCAGCTCTGACACCTTTATCAGCTACAGTGCAGGTAGATACCCATCCATGACCAAGGAAAAAGAACTTGCTGGATTGGTCCAGCATGCAGAATCCTAAATTTCTGTAGTACAGAAGTGCACAATGCTCAGTCTGCTGATAAGATATTCCATTATGTAAACTGTTTGGTCCAGAATGAGGAGCATCCCATCTCTATTACATAACTATGTACCTCCTTAGATGAGCATAGGACTCACATATGGCTACAAGAAGATGTCATAGAATCACAGTGGTTGGAAAAGACCTTTAAGATCAACAAGTCCAACTATAAACCCAACACTGCCAATCCCACCTCTAAACCATGTCCCTCAGCACCACGTCTACCTGTCTTTTATATCCCACCAGGGAAGGTGACTCCACTACCTCCCTGGGCAGCCTGTTCCAATGCTTGACTGCCCTTTTGGTGAATAAATTTCTACTAATATCCAATCTAAATCTCCTCTGGTGCAACTTGAGGCCATTTCCTCTTGTTCTATCACTTGTTACCTGGGAGAAGAGACCAACCCCCACCTCTATCCACCCTCCTTTCAGGGAGTTGGAGAGAGCAAGAAGGTCTCCCCTCAGCCTCCTTTTCTCCAGGCCAGTCAGTACCAGAAAGCGATACTGCATTGAATAAGCCTCCACTGATTCAAAGATTTATTGTAGAGTTCAAAAGATAAGGACAAAAGATACACCTGATAAGAACTCACACCTCTATGATGACTGAAGTTCTACCAATGGATCTTGCTGTAAAAAGTGGCTGGGGAGCCTGAGTCCTGGAAGCAAATGACTGGCTTGGTCTCTGAAGATGGTAGAGCAGCTCACAACTCTCAAAATTCAAAGCAACCCTTTGCATCTCAGTTCTGGTTGCCAGAGGTCAATGCAATCTTACCAGTACAGCTTCACCTCCCACCACAGAACTGCTGCTCTTCAGCTCTGTAGATCCTCCAACATAATCTAGTCAAACACAGAAGCTGCAGCACAACTGGAATGTTACATCAGTCCATGGGGACAGGGAGAAAGCACAGAGAACCGCTGGATCCTGCTGTGAATCATAGAATGGTTTGGGTTGGAAGGGACCTTAAAGCTCATCCAGTTCCAACCCCCCTGCCATCAGCAGGGACACCTTCCACTAGACCAGGTTGCTCAAAGCCTCATCCAACCTGGGCTTGAACACTTCCAGGGAGGAGCAGCCACAGCTTCCTTGGGCAACCTGTTCCTGTGTTCACAGTGAAGGGTGTGGGTGACCCTAAGCCTGACCTGCTGCTCCTGGGCACAGTTCTCACCCGTGGTACCCTGCAGGAGACAGCATCCTTGTGTGGACTGCTCATTTTAGATGCTGAGGCAATCAAGGTTCTGACAGTACAAGGCAGGAGGGCAGGGAAAATAGCAGACATAATGCAGATAAACTAGCAGTACTGAGTGCACTGGAAGAACTTCTCAAGGAGAAGGAAAAAGGCAAACAGAACAGTTGAGAGGGAAAAAAAACAGGTGAACTGAACTGTAACACAGCTGTAATTACTGCAAATAAGAAAAGAATTAGTGTTAGCCATGTGACTCGAGCCTCCAAGCTCAGCCATCCCGAGTTCAAGTTTGAGAACTACCACAGCAGAAAAGGGATGGCTTCTACCAGCAAAAAAAAAAAAACAACCCAAAAACCCAAAAACTTAATTCTCTTCAACATTACATTCACTAAAAGAAATGAAATTACTTCAGGTTCTTCTATATGATTTTCTTTCCCCCGGTGAATTTAATTATCACGTGTTTATTAGCAAATTTTAAAGATATCTGTCAAATCATCATTCTATCCTATGTGTATGCTGTAGCAAACACAATTTCCAAGAACAACCAAATGTTTCAGGTAGCTTTTAAGTCTATGAGTCTGATTTCAAGAGTAGACCTTCTAACTTGATGGTTACTTCAAATGCTCTTCCAATAGAGACGTGCTCTTCCAAGCACGTTACTCACCTGAGCACAAGCAAAGGAAGTTTTTGCAAGTCTTCGGACATACGTCTGAGAAGAGCTGAAACATAATTCGACCAACTAGAAGATAAAAAGAAAAAAAAAAAGAGGTTTATAACTCTATAATAAGAAAATCAGCATATAAATACAATCAGTATGTTCTGAAGATATAATTTCCTCAAAGAAAAGAAGAGAATTGTATCAAGCAGAGTAAGAAAATATCTCAAATATTGACATATTAAAACAAGTAGCAGGAAAGAACAATACTAAAGTTGTAAAAAAAATAAGATTAAGTAATATCATTACATCTAATTTATTAAAAATCCTAATGATTCCATTGTGATTTGACTCTGGAAAGCCAAAATGATTTACTAAAATAGTTTACCCTGTCAATTCATTTCTGTTTTGAAAAAGGAAAAGTTTTGCCATAAATCCAGGTCCTCAGAGAGCTGAAGCAATTCCCTCCCTCCACCCCAAGTACTATGTTTATACAAACACATTAATAATCACATTTCCACAGCTTTCCCTGTGATTATTACCTTAAAAGTTCAACTGACTTAGTCCCATACTGTGTTGTCATCTTTAGTTTGAAAGATATATATATAAAAAATATAATGAAAATATTTTATTATTTTTATATTTTATAAAAAATATTCTAAAAAATAGATGAAGCAAATAGGAAAGATGAAAGCAATTTCAGGACTAACGTTCCACTTGCCAGATACTATGAACCAAATACCACTTTCTCTCTGTGTAAAACGAGCAGAGTAATTCTTACTCCCAGTACAGCTTCCCCTGTGCCACTGGTGGTAGTTATGCCACGTATTTTATAAAACTATTAAAATACTGCTGAAGAGTGGGTTAATATAAAGAAAAACTGGTTTAGAATGGATTCACATTTTCTGTTTTATTATGCAA